CCGGCGGCGGGTCACGCCATCAGAGCGAGAGCATGCCGACGACAAGGGTGAATAGCGAGCAAGATTCTGTCTTACTTTAGGGCTTTTGTATTTATACATTGAGATATAAAATGAATTCACTTAAGTAAAATGAGATGTAAACGTTACTATTTTTAATCAGCTTATTAAATTGATAATCAAGAGGACTCTTACTTAATTAAAATGAAATATATACGTCACTTTAGGGGCCAAAACTTCGCCTCGCCTTCTTCTTCTTTAGCTCTGATCTCGCTATGAAGCCGGTTGATGAGTAGCGCGCAGCTAATGCTCTCCCTCAACTCCTCTACTTCCTCCGCTCCACTCTCTCACTCACGGCACCCAAATAATCTTAGGATTTTCCTATTTCTGGCGGGCCAGTGAGGGCACGTGCCCTCACTGCCCCCACCGTGGCTCCGCCCCCTGTATACGACTATATAGAGCCGGCTACATAAATATTTTATATCCATTGTTTTATATTAAGAGTCAAATTCTCTATTGAAAAAAGTCATTTATAATATTTTCTAATCAAGTTTTCCTTATCTAATGCATCAACTGATGTAGTGGATCGGCGGAAGTCGATACCTGCAAGAAGGATTTGAAAACTCCCAATCCAGGGAAGAAGAAGAAGAAAGCTTTTCAAGCTTCAAAGACTAAAATATATCATTCAATGCCTCTTTTCTTCTTACATCACAAAATATATAATACTTTAGGTAGGAAACTAGAGAAAACTAGAAGGTTCTTTGTAAGATATCCTAAGGATCATTTTAGGCTAAAGTGCTCCGCATCATCAACTCTCCTAATCAGGTCAAATGAAGGCTGATGTTATGTGATCAAATTATCTAAGACGACTCTCTCTAACTTAAAGGCTGTAGAGATGAAGATGTTCAAGCGGATGAGTGTTATGCTTCTCTTTAATGACCAACATTTTGCATTGTAAAAAATTGCAGGTCACACCACCATCTTCACACACCCAAAATCTCTCACATTGATCCAAATTATAAAAACTATTTCTGTCATATTTACTATCATTTTAATTTCTATCTATTGTGTGATACTTTGAAGCTTTAACGAAAAACACAACTCTGCCATCTCTCCGTATTTAGAGAAGCAAGCTTCGGCCATGGAAGACTTAAAGTATTGGATAAGAAGCGAGCTCATTAGATTTGGCATCGTAACAATAATTCTAATGTGGATGTGGGAGATGAGCTATGGATAGAGAGTTTGAGCTCCTCAGCTTCGTGCATGACTGTACATAGTTCTGCAACTCATTACAATGATGATGAGACATAGAGTTGTTCTAAGTTTTTTGGTTTTTGCTTTTGTTTTCCTTTTTTAGCTTTTTTTTTTTTGGATGATCCCTTTAATAAGATATTTCAGAGGTTCTGTACTTCATTTTAACTATGTTTGAGTATATTATTGTGAATAATGCAAGGAAATACAAATAGAAAAATATATTTATATATTCATATTTGCTAGATAAATTCAACTATATCTTAATTATAGAAACCAAATATACTCATGTTGAAATCTTAAAGAAAAATATATTTAGACACTATAATTTCCTTATATATATATATATATTTAAACACCATAATTCCTTCAAACCAAAGAGATTAGAACTTAAGTTTTTCATTTAAAAAGTTGGTCAAATAGAATAATTCTAGCACAATCCAAATGGTTTTCTTTTTATGAAGGATCATTTGGACTTAATTAATAGTGAGGTTAGGAGACATAAATTGCAAGAGCACGTCGATCCATCCATCGTCGTCCCGAGCTCGATGCTGCCTAGTCGAGCTGCTCGTCGAGCCGACGACTCGAGTTTGAGGCCTATTCGATCTCAAGCTCAATAAGCTTTCGATTTTGAAATTGTGTTCGAGCTCGACTCGCGAACTCGATAAGCTCGACTCATCGACCCTCGTACCGAGTCGAGTTTGAGCCGGCTCACGAGTCGGCTTGACTCAGTTGCACCTCTAACCCATACAAATATGTAAGGGTCGACAATGTTGATCTTTCCCTTGTATTATAGGAGACCATGAAGAATTTGAAATGTGTATTTGTTCAAATTGATTTCTTGCTGTTTATAAAAATTGAATGCTTTATTTGAATGATTATGTCATCTTCAGTTGGGTGGTTAGTGACAGACAAAAGAGTGAGATCTGTGCTTTATCAATATTTTGGATTCCACCTCTCTGCTAAAGGAGAAACAAAAAAGTTTGTAATTTGTATGCTGATAAGGCCAAAAAAAAAATTAGTTTAAAATTAACCCGAAATTAACCTGATATTTTTCAACCCGACCGTTTTTTGCAAACTAGTCAGTTTTCTGAACCCGAACTAGACCCGTTTCGGGTAAATTTTATTAATTTTTTTATATTTAATTCAATTTTTTTAAATCTAAATCAAATTAAGATAAAATTTAATTCAATTAGTTTAAAATAAATAAAGATTAATTTAATTTGGGCAAAAATGTTTGAATTTTTTGAAATATCATTTAATTATTTCATAAAAATCATTTAAAACCTTCCTAAATTAATTAAAAACGGGTCAAACTGAGTTGATTTCGGGTTTTCGGGTCAACCGGAATCCAACCTGGTTTTACAAACGAAATCCCTAACCCAAACTCGACCCGATTTGAGTTCTGCTTGGCCTGAACCAAAATTTTTCGGTTCGGGTTTAGGTTGGATTTTTGGGTTAGGTCAAATATTGACACCCCTAAATTGAATCTTACAAAAAGAGAACTTACAAAGCGCTCGTAGGGGTGGACATGACCAGCAAAAATGGCGTCTATGCGAGCGGCATAGAGAGTCTCTTCCATAGCCTTCCTCATGTCCTCGCCATCCCCTTGATGCGCTTTATTGGAATTATACCATGGAGCGTGTATTAGGGCGAACAACCACATGGTCTTGGACCGGTCGAGCTTGGCCAGATCCGCTTGCAACCATTTGAGCTGATTTGAGCTGGCGTCTGATGTAGGGTATCGATGGAGGACAACCAGGAGGTAGCAAAACGAATGAAACAGTAACACAATAGCAGTTAGCTCTGTAAAAGATAGAATATATTGTCTACCTTCCAAGTTCTTCCAATACAGCTTTAAAAGAATAATGCATAAAACTAAAAGTGGTCATAACTAACTAAAGTGAAAACCATATGACAGAGTACTAGAATGGAAAAGCTAAGTAGTGGAACGAAACTAATAAAGCAGAAATGCATATACTAGTGCTGTAGGAATAATATAAGGTAAAGTGTTCCTTATCTGAGGATGCTCCGCATCAGCGTCGAAGTAGGTGTAGGAGCCGAGCATAAAGACATGTACGGCGTCGCTGGCGGTGTCAAACTAGTAAAAGAGGTTTGAAGGGGAGGCACTTTCCTCGTATGGCATATGATATCGGGCGTTGTAAGGTTTGAAGGGGGTGGATTCGATGGGATGGATGGTCTCGATCTCATGTTTGCCTTCGGTGACCATCCATGGCCGGCGACTGGCGAGTGGCTCGATGAGACGAGCATAGGAGTCCCAGGAGGGCTGGTTGAGATAGGCGTATGAGAGGTCGCCGGGGAGGAGGAGGATGCCATAGTCGGACTTGAAGATGTGGTTTAGTGTTGAGTTAAGTTGGTCCAGCCGGTTTGGCCTAAATCACTTGCATGTGATAGTCAACATCTGTTATTTTTTATATTAATCTAATATAAATTTTAATTGGTAAATTATTTTTAACTCTCATTTTAAAATAAATGTAAAATATTTAAAAATTATTGCAAATGAAAATTTTATCAAGATATTTTAATTGGCAAATAATTTAAAGAGACCAGTGGGGACCCGTGCCCCAGGGCCCTACAATAGATCAGCTGACAGACTTTTTTTTCTAAAATTTTTTTTTCTAAAAATTCAGAAACGTGTAAAATTTTTTGACCATATTCAGTGATTTCATCCGGTACATAGATGTTCGGTCGGGCAGCTAATACCATATTTTGGTTATTCATATGTTTTTTTAATTAAATTTAGGTGGTATAGTTGTAATTTCTTATTATCCACATAAGTTTTTTGTTTTTTTTCTTATGTTGGGCTGTTTTTCCTTTTCTTTTTCTTCTTTACTTGTAATTCTTTTACCAAGTAATAGATGGGCTTAATGCCCCAAAATTTTTCCAAAAAAAAAATTAAAGAGACGTAAAAGCTTTAGCTGCGCGCGTCAGGCGAAGTTTTGGCCACTAAAGTGACGTTTATATTTCATTTTAATTAGGTAAGAGTCCTCTTGATTATCAATTTAATAAGCTGATTACAAATATTAACGTCTACATCTCATTCTACTTAAGTGAGTTCATTTTATATCTCAATACAGAATCTTGCTCGCCATTCACCCTTGTGGCCCGCGTGCTCTGGCTCTCACGCAGCCCTCTCTCTCTCTCTCTCACGCAGCCCTCTCTCTCTCTCTCGTCCGGGTCACAAACCTCTGTCGTTGTTCTCTCGCAGGTCCTCTCTCTCTCTCTCTCTCTCTCTCTCTCTCTCTCGTCCGGGTGTTCTCCTGCAAGGCCACAAACCTCTATCGTTTTTCTCTCACAGGTACTCTCTCTCTCTCTATAAAAGTTTTTTTATTATGCCGTTTTTCTTCTTATTTTCTGAACTAGATATTGATAGGAATTAGAGATTTGTACAATCCAATCTCTAATTGATAGGAATTAGAGATATTGATCTTCTATCTCTTCTTCTACTAATTCTTCTTCTTCCTTTCTCTTTCCTGAAAATTTGGTGTTGTTTTACCAGGGTTAAGTTCCTGTATTCCTGCCCTCTCCACCATGATCTACTTCACCGTCATCTTTTTTTTTTCATCATTTTTCTTATCGCTACCATCACCTACATCGCCTACTTAATGTGGAATTACTCTGTTGTTTCCCCTCCCCTTCAACCTGAACGCAATGCCGATACTGAGATCGACAATGCTACGCTTAGTACCTGGCCTACGCTCACCTACGCTGAAGCCAAGAGTCGGGATCCGCGAGCGGTCAACGCCATTTGCTGCAATATTTGTTTTGTTGACTATAAGGAGGACGAGAGGGAGGATAAGGCAATGAGGCTTCTGCCAGAGTGTGGACATTTATTTCACGCGACATGCGTGGATCCATGGCTATGGCGACAACATACTTGTCCGGTGTGCCGGTCATTGGTGGTGAATCGAGACCTGCAGATGCCTTTAGCCGAGGTAATTCCACTTGAGATTGAACAGGCTTAAATATATACAAAGATGATCATCAAATATGACATACATCTATATATAATTTATGATAATAGAATAATGCCTGTCCTATTTTACATAAAATATAAATATACATGTTGGTTATTTATCTATTAGCATGTTATGTTGTGTGCTTGAAGAATGTAAAAATCATATGTATTTTAAATTAAGTGACATTGTTGTTGATGTATGACAATATATTGCTTGTGCTTGTTGGGTTGGTTTTCCATGTAAAAATGTTGTGATTTTTTCTTTTCAATTCTCCTTGTATGTGACTAAGAATAATATTTTACTATTGTGTATGGCTTGAGATTTGATAAATATATTATGATTTTTTTTGCTTTTTTTCAATAAATATAATATATTATAAATTAATGATCAATAATTTCCTATGCTATTAAAATCGGACCAGACCGGCTAATTCAACCGGTTGAAATAGAACAGGCCGGTTAACCGGTCGGTTCAAACCTGAAAATCGGAGTGGTATCAGACCAAAAAAAACTTTATTTCTTTCGTGTTTTTTGAAGTTTTATTTTATGTGACATGAAAATAGCGAGTATATTAATGCAAGTTAATTTTTCTCGATACAAGAAAGTAATTGAACATTTCTTATGAGAAAATATCTCTTCGTAAAAGAAAAAGTTTTATTGCTAAAAATTGTGATGGCTTGCGTAGCACAATCTTGTATTATCTATTTGGTGAGTAAAGAGAATGGTAAATTATATTATTCTGATTATATATAACATTGTTATTCTGATTGTCCATTAATTTCCTTTAGGAACTACAGATTTGGGAAAATTACCCCTGCATTGGTAAGGGATGGAGTGTATAAACTACTAGAGTTAGAAGCTAACCCTTTATCTATCTAATCACACAATAATGTGTTTGCCTTCAATATTTGAAATCACCTTAATTTTATTCTAGGTTTTGAACGCGCTTTCTTTGGATAATTCATCTCTACATCATAAAGGTGGGAAACTATGCCGAATTGAGGTATGCACTTCTCCCCAATATGTGTCGTTTAAGTTCAATTGATGAGTTTGATTTTAAGTTTAATCTATAATTATTAATTTTTGACTTTATTATCTCTATTTTTAGTTTGATATGAGAATCAAATGTAGAGTGAATGTATAGAGAAAAAATTTTCATTCATTTTATAATATTTAATAATATTATTATTTATTACGTCATCCAATTCGACCCCAGTTCGACTGGTCGAATCGTGAACCTCTCCTTCTTCCGGTTCGTTAAACGGTCCGATTTTCACAATCTTGTTAATTTTGAAAGCAAGAAAGATAAGAATCACATTAAATTAATTGATTGAATGGTTCTTTTTCCTATGCGTGCAAAACTTTTTACACTAATTAATGTTGTAGGCATGAGGAACACTAATATTAGCAATGGTGATAAGAGGGAATGATTGATTTATTGAGCTTAGTATTAGAGTCAAGTTTTGTATCTGTCAAGTATTAGTTGTGACATTAATGGAGCAAATTCTTTTGTTATGAACAATTCTCTTAATGGTGTGGTGTTACTTCGTTGTAGAAATACTTTCATTTGGTTCTATCTTTTATTGAACTCCAATACTGAAATTTAGCCGGTTCCTGATGCTTTCTTATATAACACTAGAAAAGCTCTCACTCTAACGCTTCTTCTTTATTTCAGCAAGCTGCATGGTTTAGCTCTCTCGAGCAAGTTCAACCTCTTAGTGTTCTTCTTAGGAGAATAATCTGACACCTCCACACTCTTCCTCCCAGCTCTTTCTTCTTGGTCGCTCCCTATAGTCCCACCCTGAGATTATCTCGTTTCTTCTAGGTCGCAAGATACAGTTAACAAGAAAACTTTGTGAGAAGAGATCTTCAAATACTTTACAACCATTTTACTTTAAATTAGAATTGATTGGTTTTAGAAGAATGTATGGATCAATAAATTAGAGAAGCTTGAAATATTATGTGATTTTTGAAGACTCAGCAATTATTTATGAATTAAATCACATTTATCTTAAAATAAATTTAAAAAATTGAAGATTTATTTTGATTAAATTTTACTTAAAATATACCAACATATAAAAATAATAGATTGATAATTAATATATAATTAATGTAATATGTATATATATAAGATTTCATGCTCCCTTTTTGTTGCAAATGATAAATTAAGTTGGTTTGGATAGATTTTGATCTTCTTATGAAAAAATAAAGCAAAAAATTCCATCATTTAGAACTCGAAGATCAGGGTTTAAAATTGGTAGCAATACAACCAAAAAATATTTAGGTGCTGAGTTTGCCAATATAATATAGAAGAAACCACATGGCTTAATTTGGCCTGCTAATTTTTCTTTAAAATGACCCTTATTTCTTGTAATAATAAAAAACATAGAAGGAGAATATTTGCTTGATTGATTTCATACTAATACAAATGCACATATATAAAGGAAAGAAAAAAAAAAAACAATAGAGGAAATATAATAAAATAAAATATTCTCAATAATGAAAAATTATTGTATGAATAAATACTATATATTCTAATTATAAATGTTATATGGCAACAACTAATTTGAATAACTCTATTTGGTTAGATGAATTTGAATTTTATGAGTATTTTAAATATATTTTAAATTAAAATCATATATTTGAAAATTTTTGAGACCGCACGCTTAGTTTCTTATAAAGAAGTTTATGGGCTTATTAATTTTTTTTCTTTTTGGTTATTTACAAAGTAGAACTAATATTTAAAAAGACAAAAAAGACAATGATAGTGGGTACATTAGTGGGTTCATAATATTCTTCTGATTGTATGTTTATTAGATTGCTTGTGATAAAACACTATAGACCTTTTTAAGAAAATAGATCTTGGAGAAATAAAAAAGTCTCTCACAACAAGGGTCTAGTTGGCAAGCTTATCTAATCATTACTAAACCCAGTATGTCTTTATTATTGGTGTGATTAGTCCGCATATGTAAAATCTGAAGAAGAAACAATAAGAGGCTGCCTAAGAGTTTTGAATTATGGCCAGAAATGTCTTGAAAAAAGACAAATTATCAAAGACAAATCACTTAAAGATTTCAAGGTAGATGTTGATTATGTTAGGTGTGGAAGTCCATTGAGAATAGAAAATCAACCTTTTGCTATTCTATCTTCGCTGATGGATATATTATAACGTGGGGCAAGAATGGTAAAACAACATGTTAGGAAAGATGCATATTTATAGGCCTAGGCAATGCTGTATTGATTTTTTTTATTTATAATAGCTGGGTCCTCTAATGAATAAGATGCAAGAAAGAGCTTTTCCCTCTAACACATATACCATAGCCATTTTGATTATAGTTATTTTTTTTATAAAAGTTTTTTATTATTGTAATTGTAACATGCAACGCACTTATGCACTCATCTAAAAATAAATTCAATTATTTTTAGTAACTTCTGATCTAGACATTTGGACTAGGCATGAAGATAGGGGCATGATTTTATGTCCTGCAATTTACTCGATGGACTTGCTAAGGGGGCATGAGTTGATTGCTTCCGTCTGCATTGAGTAGACCTGAGTCCCTAGCCTTATATTGGGAATTCTCTTTTGCGTCCCAATTAGTTGGTATAAAACCATGTATTTATTATCACGGCTCTTAAATAGGACCACCATGAGGTAATTCCAAGCCTTCATGCCTAATGGGAAAATTTTCAAGTGTTGAGACTATTATGAAGAAACCATAGGCCTTGATTTGCAGGTGGCATGTTATTAATGGCATCACTTGGATGCAAACCCGAGCTTTTTCACTCCATTAGGTACTTTTAAGTGTTTATACCACCATGACCAAAATAATTAAGGTTTCGTCTCAAATGATTTTTACTGTTTTGTAAAGTTACTTTATAGTATAAAAATATCTAAGAAAAAAGTTATGATCTAGAGCTATCCCAAATGAAGCCTAAGGCACGAAGCCTAAGGCTTTGTTTGGGACAGCTTTCTTATTGTTTCTTAGAGTGATTTTCTAATACAAAAATTAACATTTTTATACTTAAAAAGCTGTTTTAAGAAGCAGTTAAAAAGCCGTCCCAAACCAAACCTATGTCTAAGAATTTTTCAATTCTATTGAAGATTTTAGGTAAAACTACAAGACAATCTTTGATCCCATGGTTCATTATTTGTTTTAATCATAATTTTTATCTCCTTGATTTTCTTCACCTGCAACCTCTAAGTTATCTTTCCAACATCCATGGATGACCCCTCACCCATTTTATGTCAAATCTTGATTTTTAAAAGAAAAAAAATGAAGCAGAAGAAAAAGAAAAATGTTTTAAAACTATATATTTTATACAAATAACAGTATATTTTTTTTCATCATTTAATTCTTTTTATGACAAGCAGGATTGGAAAGAAGACTGGTAATCCACACGCTATCAACCACCACAGCCTCATCATCATCATTTCGGTGCCAGCTCCACAGTGCATGGGTGCCATTCGCAACATGCAACTGCCCATGTCCGAAGCTCGCCTCCTTGAACAAAGAGATGCTCGGTTGTGGATCAATGTACTTGTTCGCAAGCCCTTCCCTGTTGCCCCCGTCACCTATTGTGATGTGTAGCGGCCCACATTGGTTCTTTTTGCTATTATACACAGGTACCTGCACCACCAAAGATTACAAAATTTTTCTTCAAAAACACCTTTAAGTTCTGTCTGTTATTTCCACAAAAGTTTGGCGAAAAGAGCACTTACAAAGCGCTCGTAGGCGTGGACATGACCAGCGAAAACGGCATCTACGCGAGCGGCATAGAGAGTCTCTTCCATAGCCTTCCTCATGTCCTCGCCGTCCCCTTGATGTGCTTTATTGGAATTGTACCATGGAGCATGTATTAGGGTGAACAACCACTTGGTCTTGGACCGGTCGAGCTTGGCCAGATCAGCTTGCAACCATTTGAACTGATCGGAGCTGGCGTCGAAGTCAGTGTAGGAGCCGAGCATAAGGACATGTACGGCACCGCCGGCGGCGTCAAACGAGTAAAAAAGGTTTGAAGGGGAGGCGCTTTCCTTGTAGGGCATATGATATCGGGCGTTGTAAGGTTTGAAGGGGGTGGATTCGATGAGAGGTATGGTTTCGATCTCATGGTTGCCTTTGGTGACCATCCATGGCCGGCTACTGGCAAGTGGCTCGACGAGACGGGCGTAGGAGTCCCAGGAGGGCTGGTTGAGATCGGCGTATGAGAGGTCGCCTGGGAGGAGGAGGATGTCGTAGTTTGACTGGGAGATGTGGTTTAGTGTAGAGTTGGTCCAACCGGTTTGGCCTAAATCACCTGCATGTGATGGTCAACAAAGTCGATCAAAGTAGAAGGGATAGATCTTTTATGTGTTGAAACATTAATCGAAAATTTTGCTGATCGACCATGACCATGCCTTCACCATGTTTGCTCATCTATATATCTCTCTATATAAGAATCAATATTTAAATGCCTTAATGTATATAAGCATCTAAACTAATATTTAGAGCAAGAGATTAAGGCTTCGCTCGGTACGTTTTTTAACTGTTTCCAAGTTAAAAATTTTAACTAGTAAGCTAATTTTCAAGTTTAAATAAATATATATATATATAAATTTCTTTCAATCAAATATAAGCCTAACACTTAGGATAGATTGGGATGTTTCTGAAGTAATTCAGAATCTCAAAACATTCCCTACTCCTCTTCCTTTGACTCCGAAAATAAGTGTTCAATCTTGAACCAATCCCCCTTGAAATTCAAACCTTAACTTCCTTTGATATTTAACTTTGAATTCTAAATAAAATTCATATCGCTATTTTAATCGAGAGTTTTCGTAGGAAAATCTCTAATTTTCCTACGATGTAATTAACTACGAGGGCTTGCGCTCGTAGGAGATTTAGTAACTCAGATTTAATTTGACAAATTACACTTTATATCTTATATAAGTGAAGGCACATAGGAGAATAGGATTATTTTTTTGGGGTAAATTTTGCATTAGCGGGCAAACAATCAATGCACATATTCCCAAGAAAATGACCAACCAATGCGTGATGTCAACATCATATGTGGACTTTCAATAATTGAGAATAATTAAGTCATAATATTACGACTAATTTTAATTATTATAAATTAAATATTTTCAAGTTATTTTGAAACAAATATATA